AAGTGTCAGACGTAATGCGCACTCATGAAGGTCCTCGATAGGATGAAACCACCGCACGTTGAATTCCCGGGAGTGCGTAAGTTGTCTGCATGAGCCTAGATGTTCTGAATTTCCGCCTACACAATTCAACTTTCACTACCAGATTTTGCAATCAACACAGATTTCCATTCGCTCCTTAACCGGAATCCTCATTCAACCATAACTTGAAATTGACCTATTTGTTCAAAAAAGCAAGTTGTTCATTTAGACATTAATGTAAGCTTCACGGCTAGCTGGCAGCCTCGAAAGCCGAAAAAAAGACCAAGGCTAATGCTTGCGGCCGAAGAATAACGCATGCTTCTTGCAAACAGCAAAACAAGGCCAGTTTATGCACCCTTTTAGCGCCATCAGGTCCTAATCGGCGTCAAAACTAACCTGCTCAGCACCACCGTTACCTTACAATATTCATCATAAACTACTGTTCGCTGCACAATGAACTCGCTGGTGCCGTATCCTGAGGTTTTGTCGGCATCCACCACAATGGCGCACATTAGGGTTTGCGCTGTCTGACGATGGCACAAATGACTTTAATCCGAAAATAACTGGCACCAGTGTTTGCAGTGTAGAGAGAAGTCAGTACCCAGGACAAACAGATAGCCTCAAGCTATTACGGCCAAGCCGTGCTGCTGCCACATTACGTTCGGTCAACCGGTCGCTCGAGTACGGGTGTGAACCTTTAAAACGCAGCCAATTGTACTGCAGGCGCAGAATGGAGAATGGAGCGCCTGTGTGCTGACCCAGTGTGTCTAATTCAAACGCGGCTGGGGGATCCAGGCACACAACAGTTAGAAGCCATAAACAGAAGCTATATATTATTCGGCTTCATGTCGAATCCGTCCATACTTACATCTATAAGGTTTGGCTGAATTGACCAACACCAGTTGCGAGCTGCACTGACCAGTTTTGAGGAACTTCGCCTTGCCACCCCTATTACCCAGATCCAATAGCGCCATGCTGCAGAACTAAACTGCCGAATTACTGGCTCCCATCTCTACTTGCACTTCCTGGAATTTGTGGGAATATTAGGTGGTCTTCTGCGTCTCACGATTAATGTTTTTTTCATGACGATTGGCTACTTATCCCATATCCTCTCCTATTGATTTTACTGCGCTCTCTTTCTATACCGTTCCAGTGTGTGAAAAAACCAGCTCAGCACACTATAGACGTAGTGGTTTTCGAGCTATTAGCTGCGCTTATTTGTGCCTGACCTTCTACTCTTAAAACTGCGCTGCCGTACGGTATATATGTCGTTTGTCCATGCGACCCATATAACCTTCAGGTCCATTGCCATTCATAACCATTAGCGTTAGATAGCTAAACCTCAAGGGACATATCCATCGCCCACTGGCAAGCAAACCCGAACTAAATTTGACTTCATGAGCTAAAGCCTGATTCACAAGGTATAATTGACCCAAATGCTACTGTCCGTGGATACCGCCTCTTTTAGCAAATATAGCACACACAAGCAAGCAGATGGATGCGTATTATATAAATGTTTACCAGCTATCTACTTCCAGACTCAAGGTTTCAATGCATTGCCAACCTCAATTACTGCTGATGTTCTTGGATTGTCGTTGCTTTTTGGCTGTATGTACAGGACGCCTGAGAGCTCAACCATGAACGATAACGGGTCATTTTATGCACTTGCAGATGTCGCACCCATCCCGTACCAATATACAATGTACTAAGAAAACTTAAACATGTCAGCTAATAACTGGCTTACACCAACTGCTCCAGCAGCGCGTGGAAGCCTACTAGTTTATATAATCTTGGCTGGATGGACTTACTATGATCCATCGCCTTATAGAGTGGAATACGTGCTAGTTGAAGATTTTACCCTGGGCATTCCTGAACTGAAAGCAGTAGCGGCATCTGCTTTGCAAAAATTACGCGTTTTAATAGGTGTCATGGACTGTACTGCTTATGAGCTGCAAATACGGTGTGAAACCTTTAACGCCTACTGCAAATTGCCATTTTTTCTAGTAATGGAACCTGCGGTTAACGAATAGTTAAATATGTGCACCTAAGCATTGAACATTGCTCCTTTATTGAAACTGGTGGTAGAGGTTTCTCCTTGATCTTCTAAACACTTACAACCTCGAAGTTGCGTGGTCAGCATCTTAATGTTTAAGAAGAATCCACACGACTCCACAAGACAAAGTTACATCAATTCAAGATGTTTGTAAGTTCAGCTCAATAAGCCACAACATAATTACTTATGAGTAGAAGGATTTTGGTGAGTATTTTTGTTCGTCACAATCAGCCGACAATTTAGCTAAGTCAATAACCTATACGGGAAAGCACCAGACGGCCGTTTCGCCCTATCGGAGCTCGTCAGTGGTACGCATCCTTCGGTCCTCAACGGAGGATGGAACCCAGGACTGCTAGTGGCTTGTGCCAACTAGCCCGCAGCTTATGCAGCTGCGCCATGGAGGACGGCAGCCGACCATCACGCATTGTTAGCTGACTGCGATATAGCCCAACTCATGCGCCACTGCCATGCAGGCACCTGCCATGCAGCTGACAGCGGTTGGCCTTCCCGGTTACGGCAGCCATGAATCGACATAGCATTTATGGAATCTGTAAGGGCGCAGTTGCATAAGCTGCAGGTTGGTTGGCACCAGTTACTAGCAGTCCTGGGTTCGATCCTCCGCAGAGGACCGAAGGATGCGTACCACTGGCCGGCACCAATAAAGCGAAACGGCCGTCTGGTGCTTTTCCGGATAGGTAGTTGGCTAAGCTGAATTGTCGGCTGATTGCGACGAACAAAAATGCACAACATAACTATTTCATTTGTAATGTGGAAACCAGCAAAAGGGTATATTAACATAACTGCACATGGCAGGTTTATGCAAAAAGCGCAGCATGGGCCGCTTTATGCAGGATCATGCGTGCCATTCTAAATAGACTGTTTGACCGTAACATGGAAGCAACGGCTTTTGAGAAGACGATGTTAAAGTTGTACTTTATATGCAAAAGGCGGTTGCTCGAATTCCCGTAGGTGAACATTAATTGGGTTTTGAGCGTATGATGTACGAGATTTTCTGCCGTACTGACATTTCCCATTTTAAACAACTACGCTTTTATTCGCAACAATATAGGCATGATCAGATAACAAAAGAACATGGATGGAGCTTGTGCAAAAATGCTTCAATACTACCAGTAATATACTGGTTCTGTTGTGACGTCGCTGGTTGTACGACTGACCTGCTGCTACCGGACAGCTGACAGTTGCCAGCAATGTGTCGTGTTTTCCGCTGACTTTACGGATAACCTGCCTGAACCTGCTTTACCGACCCAAACTAGTTCAACTCGACAAGAAATGAGAACACCTAGACCAGCCGGACCCGGATACTGACGCCGATTCTATTGCTTGAGAGCATGAAGCAATACATACGTTGTAGGAACCCACCAACCCAGCAAAATTAACGATGCTAATTAAGAGTAATTAACACAAATCAGACGGTTCAAGTTCATGGTATAGCTTGCTGTTTATGCCACCTGAATTCGCATGTTGAGCTTTACTCGCGTTCGATCACTACTGGTAGAGCAATCCACTGTTGCGCCGCAGCTCTTGGTCTGAACGCTGACGCACCGTGCGTATTGTTATATGGATTTTTGTCCGTAGGAAGTTATTTGTCTGTGCTGCATGTATGGGTTAATTTTTCACTTCCATTGGTATTGTTTTCACTCAGGTCGTCGACATGAGATGGACTGGTAAGGACACTTGGGCTTGAAGTACTGAAAGGGCTCAAGCTAAGCTAAGTGCAGTGATGTCGTTTAGTGGCGAGTAACATCCGTCAAGTTGCAGGTTTTTAACAGACTTTTGTGGCCTTACAGTGGGGGTATGCTTACCAAACGTTATGTCACCACGTTCTGGAACACTGCCGCGGGACCACACGCTGGAACGGGCTTAACCAGTTCCACCTAGCTGGCATCAAGTGGAGGTCATTTTACGGTGGGTTGAAGCAACTTACAGAAACTTCGGGTGGTACGGTCTAGGGCAGGGTGCTAGATCAGCTTTTTTCCTTATGCACGCCAAAGACCTCTGTGCTAGGTTCCAACACCCTCACCCGAATGCCTTTGCAGACGCTGTGGAATTCCCCATAAATATGTATCTTCTAACCCACCGCCATATCATCTGCATTAAACATAATGCGCGAGTATATAGCAGCTACTGCTTAATAATTGCGAAATTGGCAAAACCTTTTCCGACTGATAAGTCTAGTGCCACCGTTTATGACATTAATATGTCTCCCGGTTCCTGAAGATTTATTAGCACCTTGATAAGAATGAACGTTTCAGTGAAAAAGCTAGGGTTGTTGTACTATACTTCCTGCAAGTTCAGCGGATAGCTACGTTATAGTGTAGCCAGAGTACGATATTTAAGTTGCGAACGAAGTAGCAGGATCTACTGTATTTAATTATATACAAAAATTTACAGAATCTGCATAATTCCGAAACTGTGATATTAACATTCATATTTAGCAACAAAAGGTAGCCAAAACTCACCTTGCTAGCATAGCTCAGAGATGCATGACAAATAGGACCCCTGATGAATTCGAAAACTTGCAGCTGAGCAGTGTTTCAAAATACAACACGTACTTAGATTAATGCGACAACACTATTTAAGTCGCGATTAAGCCCACTCAGCAACAGTGTCCAATGAACGCCCATTGGATGTCCGATGGGCGCCCGTTGGGTAACCGATCGGGCGCCCGACGGGCGCCCGAGTGGTAAAATTATGTCACTCATCGGGCGCTCGCGGAGAAAAATACCGTGGCGCCTCCCTTCGCACTCTCACATTTCCACGATTTCCAGCCGTAATGGGTAAAGCCTAGCCGCATTATCCTCCCTTCTCATACCACTGCAAGCGCGTTTATGCGAGCGCACACATTGCATGCCATGAACACAACACAGTTAGCGAAAACATAATGTAATATGGATATTATAATTTACAAAGCGGAATCTTGCAGTGATAACCGTTCTGTTTCCTTTCGTATCCCGGATTCACGCTCTTTTATTCGTTGTATCCAGCGTCGTAACTTGTCAACGATATCAGGCTCTGTGCATCCTGGTATGTTTTTTCCCATAATGGCATCTGTTGAAGACATTAATGTTGTTTAAAAGGTAATATACCAAGGACCGCTCGCGCGAATGGTGTGTTCGCTAGTTTATACTTCTCATGCACACCACGCCAGTTCACATGTCTGACCAAGTTGTTAGTCATGCAAGTAAGCATGACGTTCCGCACATTTTCTGAGATTGTCCGGCCGCTTACGTTGGATAAATAGTGCACCTACGAATAAGTGAAATTCCATGAGACTTACCATGCTGTTCATGAACTCAGCGTTCTCCAGTGCATTATTTAATAATGACAGTTGCGCTATTGTGTCCATTGGTAATGGAAATGGGCACGCGTTCCTGGAACTTAGGTCCTGAAGTGCATGCAGCGCGTTCAAGGACAACTCTACAGCAGTCATTCGTTCGCGCAGTTTCATCGCTTCGCGATTTACTTTCCGCAATGTGGCTGCAAGTAAATGTTTCGGAGACGCTGTGAACCACCCATTCATTTCCAACAGCAGTGCGTTGTCACAGGATGTTCCGCTAACGGGTAAACGCTAAGAAACGACTTGGTGAATCGGACTAAGAGTGTAAAAACAAACGCATTGTTTACCTGGATATATGGGGATAGGCTAATAGGTGTCCATTTTCTTTATCAGAACCATCGCTTAGTTCCTCCTTCAAATACAGGTTTGGTGGTGGAGGTGATAAATCCAAGTTCACGACTTCAACAGTACTCCGCGTTGCTGGTGGTGGTGACTCACAATCAGGAAAGGTTTTTACAGTGCTGGGATAATATGCTATCTAGCTGCAACATACATTTTTCGCTTCCACCATCGGAGCATTGGAATCGTTGCGTCGCTAGATGGTAATTCGGCTGATGTTAGCAAGCTCTGTTCCAAATTTTTAGCTTCAAGGTAAGCATCTAAAATTGCGTACAAATATATTGTTCTGTAGCCTCACCTGTACAACGGTGTATTCCTACTTTGTACGCCACAGCCGACGCGGGTGGGGGCAGGCAATGCATCAGGAAATCCTGTAACTGTTTTGATGATAACCGTCCCCACAGAACTTCTCCATTATTAAGCATCCAGGATGACAAAACCACTGCAACCGAAGAATCTTGAAATTCGAACACGCGATACATCTGAAAAAATATGCTCAGAGCACAGCACTTCCACAAACTTATTAGAAGAGGTAAATGTGTTCGGTGGGGAAAATTTTATTTGCGATACCAGGTGCAGCAGCATATGCAGTGTACTCCATGGTGTTGAAAAGGTAACTGTAACGGCGCAACGCCGTTACTGTTGTACAACGATTTTGCGCACCTAGATTTGAAGCATAAAACGGACTGTTAACTGAAGCAAATAAATAGTAAAATAAGACAGCTTACCTACGTCGCATGTTTCTTGGTATCCTTGTGCCACCAGCAGTGAACGATGGGGTAAAATACAATGTACTCATCGCAGGCAATCGCAGACATTTGCAGCCGATTGCACTCAATGGAATCCATGTCGGTGGAGCTAAGGAACCCCAACATTTAAAAATACGTAGGTCTGTGGACGGCAAACTTTTTACGAACAGCGACTCAGTCTGTGTGAAATGCTGCACGCATAGCACCTTAGAACGCTGGCCCAGCACTACCGAAGGTCTTCCAGGTGCCATGACAGCATTATCTGGATGTGCATTCGTAATCAGCGCAACGAAATGTAAGAAACCGATTTGTCGCCGACCGCGACGCACAACTACGGTGGATTCAGTGTCGTCCAAACAACAGCCATCATCATCGGTGACATTCGTTAACCTTCTCCCCGTTAGGCGACGAAAGATTTGCGACGTCGCCGACGCCGGTCCGTTTATGAGCTTTCGAAGCCGTCGTAGAAACGATTCGAAAGGAAATGCAAAAAAGTTATCCATGGGTCCAAGGCGTCCGATTTCCTGGCACAAATGCACTAAACAGTGCACATTAAAGGCCACCTCCTTCTCCCCGTACAGCTTCGCGATGTCACGCACAACTCTATTCAATAATGATTTCGCATGCAAATGGTAATGGGAACGCCACCTACGGCAGCACCGAATGTATGAGGCAACGGATAACATAACGAAATTATTGTGCAAATCTTCGGGCAACACGTCGCGCAAAACTACTGGACCCAGATATAAAAGAAATTGTCTGAATTCAGTTGCCTTCCAACGTTCCACGTCCTCAAACGTGCGACTTTTGTGCGGAAACTCGAAGGTCAGGTTAGCCGAACACAGGCGAAGTCGTTCATTGATGATGTCGATAGATGTTGACGGCAATCGTTTGGTTCCACGTGTTGGTCCGCAGCGCCACAGCATTATTAACTTCCGTGTTACTCCCAGACACAAGGTGTGCATGCAATCAAGTGGGAAACAACTTATCATATCAATCCGTAGGGCCTCAAAAGGTGATACACCGATTTGATGTTCCGGTTGTTTACGTGTTCTAAAATCCATGTCATTATGTAATGAGCTTTGGGGATCGTTAGGGAAGGTCATTTTACCATCAACGTGCGAACCCGCAAATGTGTACCAAACTTTACGCTTTGCTCACCAGTTATTGTGCATTTCTCGCAGGCGAAATATACAGAATGTTGTTTCACCTGCCGAACGTATGCTCGTGCAGGGGCATCGGCTATCACGCAGTCCAGAACGATATCTATAGCATCGTCATTATCATACAAGCAGACACCTTTGCATAACACATCATTCAGTTCATCCACCACTGGCCGCAGGAACTCATGCACATTAATGGGTTTCAATAATCCACTGTAAAGACCAAGTAAAAACACAGCACTTGGCGGATTTATCAGCCTCTCAAGTATTGGCCACAGCTGTCTGCGCGAGCTTTTGAACACGGTCATTCCGTCTATATGGATCTGCAAATTTCGCAACGACGGACGGGTTGAATGCGTTCGGTGTAACACGTCACGTATGGCGTCCTGCAAATCCATATGAATGTAACTGCCACCTCTGATTAATCTCACTGGACACCGACGGGGTGTTTTCAAAATGCTACGAGCTTCAACCGGTAAATTAGGATATAGATGCCGAAGATTGCGCAAAAGAATGTTAATCTGGGTCAAGGGGAAGCTTCCGTCCAGAGCCACGTCACGCAGAATTTCCTCTAAGGTAACCTAATCCGCTGGACGTAAAAGGTCGGTTAAACGGGCTAAAACAATCCGTGATATACAACATTTGCATACGTAGATTTAATAAAGGGGAAGCATAAGGCACCTCCGATTCATTTGTGTGATGAATGACTCCACCATTAGCGGATACTGCGTCCGTAAAAGGCTCCTGCACAGCATGGCGCGAAGAATGCACATCTTGTGCGGTAGGTCCAGTACTTATCATCTCGTGTGTAGCTGAAAAGGCATCCCGCGTAAAGAATACCCATACCTTGTAAGGACATAACTCCTTGAACTTCTCGCTGTATATCATCTTCAGCTCGCCGTATTCTACGATAAATACTTGCGGTAGAGCCACTTGAAAAGACGTTCACAGGCTTCTTATCTATAGCTGAAGATAGAACAGCGAACTCGGCGAGACAGAAGCGAAATGCTAATTACCCGCCAGTAGCAAAGTAACAAAATGGTGCATTTAAACATAAGATGCCAGAAGAATTATCGCCCGTTATGGGGCAAAATAATAAAAACAATGTGCTGACTGACAATATTAATATACTACCCCACAGCCATTTCTATAAATAAACATTTATTATGATCGCCCGATGGGTGTCCCGATTCGTGCGCTCGAGTGACCGATGGTGCTGACAGGGAGTCTTCCGCATGCCGGTTTCTAGTGTTAAAATTTCATCGTCGAAAGAAGTTGCCTTCGAGGCTTAGGTGGTGTAAGTGTGCACTACAGTTCAAGAGGGACGTGGGAAAATTTTGACTATCAAAAAATAGGCACATACTTTATTTCTGTGATCACCAAAAGATATTCTTTTACACAGTATGTGACGTTATTTACCAACTATAGATCCCTTACGTTAAAAACGAACAGGAACGCAGTTGGAGCAGCAGTGGTTTGTATTGCATACAATATTAATAACAAAAGCATTACTGACTGCATAAATGTTCCCGCTTTTACTATAAGCTGGGTCTTATATTAGCCTGCAGGCAAAACTTTATTAATGAACAATAAACATAATAAAATTACCAAGAAATATTAACAAGGAATAAATACTACACCTAACCTTGTCAGCCCACAGCATATTGGTTTGCCTTTAGTTGGAGAATAGTTATTTCATGAGCACGATCTCCGCCAAATCCTTGGTAAAGAATCCGTAAGAGCTAAGCATGACATAAAGCTATTGACAATAAACCTACAATTCAATAATTGTCGTCGAAAGAATTTTCTGGATATGCCCAGTATAGATACAAATTTCAACTAATGTTTTAAGCTCCTTATAATCGAAAATACTGTGTTGTTTCCCGCAATATTTGTTAAGGATATGATACACCTGCTGCCCTTCCTCAGTTCTATTGTTAATTTTAGTTCGCAATTCTTGAGTTACTCTGTTAGACTAAATAATCATATGGAGAACAATGTGCATTACTACTAAGAGGATGAACACTTGCTAAAACGATAAATCAAGCTTCAGCTAAATATTTCACAGAAGTGGGAGATAAGTGGCAACGGCTTTGATATTACCCACCCAAGTAAACTGGTGTCATGAAGGCTCACTGAGTCCATGCCATACTACACGTTTGCACTCATATGATGTACGACTTAAATAGCTTTGATGTCCAGCAAAAAATGCGTGCACATTGCTGAAGAACCGCGCCGAACGTTTAGGTTATGTCTGCAGCATATTACCTAATATCTGTTACTATTTCACGAACACTTTACCAGTAGTTTCGTATGTTTTTGCTTGAGGAGGCCCATCCTTCACGGCTATTGGCCTAATACACCATTTACCTACACGTACTACATAAATTTACGGAACCGCATGAGTTTTGCTATTCGTAACCAAGTGGGTGGTATCATCGGAAGAGGTGGCTGGATCAGGCGAAGAAGCCGAAATATTGAAAAGCAGCATGCTTTAGTACTTGATGGGTTAAGCTGGTTTGTTTACGCAATAACGTTTTAGGGCTGTCGGTTGGAACGCCGCATTGCTGTGAACTGGATCTTCTTGGGCGAAGATGGAACGCTTCGTAAATCTGCTCCTGCAGCAGATCCTTTGGAAACTGATGGTAATCGGATCCGGCCGCCTGTTTGAGCTGCAGATAAAAAGAATTGGAACTGTATTGCATCCCTGA